AAACTCAAAAGCATATGGAAGTGATTGTTAATAAATCAAAATAAATTAATAAAAAAATTAAAAAAAGAAACTCTGTGGCTTCGGGGAACCATGGTATGTAAATCCTGCAAAGTAATAGTTCTATATTTCCTGGATAATCTCATAGATTCCCATTCTTTTGGCCTTCAGCAAGTTAATGAACCTCATTGATCTTTAAAAGAACGATATTTGTAGCCCTGGCATGAATAGTTGATTAATAAACTGTGTTCAATTAGATTCAATAAAAATGTATTAAGTACCTACCCTGTGCAAGGTACTGTGGTAGGTGCTGGTGACACAAAGACAAAAATGAAGTAGTCTTTGCTCTCAAAAAGCTTCCAATATAATGGGAGAATTCAATAAGTACACAGATGAATATACACAAGGTCATTTAAAGAGGAGAGAAAGCACTTGCCTTAGTGATGGGGAGAATATTACTGCTGCCATAGTCTCAACTTCATGGAACAGTTCTCAAAAAAAAAAGTATTTTATTATTCAGCACAGATTGCTACCCTTTAGGTCCAGGATGGGTTCTTTTGGGTCATCTTGGTTATGCCAAGCTCCGTTCTCTAGATTCTCTATCAATAGACCAGGAGCTATAAATCAAATAGCAATGCTTTTAATTAGGACATAATAGCAAAGTAAATAAGGAAAAGTTCCCCCCCCCCAAAAAAGGGACCAATATCTCACAAACTTCTATGCCCCTGGTGAGAAAGAGAATATACTCCAGGGAAAATTCAATCCTAGGACTGAATCCTGCCTTTGCAGTTATAAAATGCTGTTTCCCTGAAGGGTTGTTGCTGTCATCTTTGGCTGAGTTGCTTCCCTGCCAAAGGCTAAAGCTGTTAACTGGTTCCTTGGGTTTCTCTCTCAAAGTGGGTGTTTTTGTAACACTGACCGTGCCTATGACTATTTTAACTCTTTTTGTTAGTTGGGACCACATTTGCACTCAGCCAGCACAGAATAGAGCCGCTCAGGTAAAAATGTTTCTTAACCTTCTCATTCCTTCTCAGTGGAAATTCCTGCAGACCTACTAGATATTTAGGTTGGGGTGAAGTGACCAAATTTCCTTCAACTCCCATATGTGCTTGGTAACTATACCAGGGCTGCACAAACTACCTTGAAACTTCAACACTAGAACTAGCAACTTTTGCTCTATAATCCTGTAGCTATACTTGGACTGTTGTTCTCCTTACAGGTACTTTGAAGGGAATTACAACTTTATATCTAAGTTGCTATTTTTAAAACCTTAAAACATTTTCTTCACAATGATCCTGTGAGGTATGTCTTGTAAGTATTACTGCTCTCATTTCACAGATGAGAAAACTATGGCTCAGCTACCTGGTGTAGTGGATTTAGAGACAGAAGTTCTAGCTTCAAATTTAGGCTCTGCTATTTATTACCCATGTGACTTTGGGAAAGAAATCACCCCTACCCCATCCCACCCATCCCAGCAGTTTACTTATCTATAAAATGAAAGTTAAACTTTATTATTTCTAAAGTCCCTTCCAGCTCTAATCCTATGACTTTCCCAAGATCTCACAGCTAATAAAAATTACAGTCTTCAGGATTCCTGACTCCAAGATAATAGATCAAAGAAACAGAGGGGAAAAGGCTGTTAGAGGTGATTTTGACCCCTGGTTTGACCAAGGTCACAGTGCCCAAACACAGTGCCTCTGAACTAAGCCTTGCCCTCTACAATCTGTGCACACAACTATTACTGTGCCTGTTCTCAAACTTTTCATATTGATCTATTTTCAAGACATTCCTTACACCCCACTGCTTATCCACTATCCTAAGAACCCAAGAACATATGGTTCAAATCCTGCCTTTGACATTTATTTGCTATGTGTTCTTTGGGATTTTCTGAGATTCAGTTTTCTGTAAAATGCAGATGATACTTGTAGTAATTAGCTCACAAGGTTGTGAGGATCACGTGAGATATGTCAGACTTTTTCCAAACCTTAAAATGTTACACAAATGTCCATCATTTTTTAGCATCAACCCCCTTACTTCATGCCCACATAATTGAAAAGAGCTGAGCTTTCCCTAATTATACGCCTAGATCTCCCTCATCTTTAAAACACTTTTGACTTGACCCTGCCACCCTTTCAAACAGCAGCTATTCCTCCTAAAAAAAGGAAGAATATTCCTTTGCCTTAATAGCCTTACCTCCCACCAATTTCTTAATCCCTTAATCCTTAGCTCCTAACCCCACCATTTGACTCAAAATGCTACCTCCAAGGTACCCTAGGACTCAACTGCTAATCCCAGTGGCCTTTTCTCAATCCTCGTTCTTTGACCACTTCTGCTTTTGACTCTTTCAGACCTCTTCTTGCATTCTCTTCACTAGACTTCCATGATATGGCTCTCTCTTGGTTCTCTTCCTGTCTGACCACTTCTTCTGAAGTCTCCTTTGCTGGATCATCACTGTCTTCCTTCCTACTAATCATGGGCATCCCCATCTAGAGGCTCTGTCCTGGCCCTCTTCTCTTGATAAATTGTCTCTTTGGGTGATATCATCAGCATCCATGGGTTCATCATCTCTATATAGATTACTCTCAAGTCTTACGTCCAGCTCTAAGCTCTCATCTGAAATCCAATCTGTATTACCAACTGCCTACTAGACATCTACCCCTGGATGTCCAATTTATGTTTCAAATTCAAACTATCCAAAATGGAATCATCATTATATTTCCCTCCAGAACCGATTCCTCCTCAAACTTCATTTCTGTCTAAAGTACCACCGTTCTTCTAATTACGCAGGTTCACAATCTTGAAGTCAACCTTGGCTCTTCCCTCTCCCTCAATCTCTCCATCCAATCAGTTCTTGATATTGCCACAATATGTCTCCTATCCATTCCCTGCTCTCTGTTCACACAGCCGCTAACCTATTTTTTCGAGGAGGCAGCTAGGTGGTACAAGCAGATAGAGTGCTGGGCCTGGAGTGAGGAAGATTTAAGTTCAAATTCAGTCTCAGACACCTTCTAGTTGTGTGACCTTGGGCAAATCACTTAACCTATTTGCCTCAGTTTCCTGAGCTGTGAAATGGGGACAATAACAATATCTACCTCTCAGGGCTGTTGTGAGGGTCAAATCTGTAAAGCACTTGGCATACAGTAGGTGATACATAAACGCTTATTCCCTCTCCCCACCTAGTGGAGGCCCTCAGAGCTTCTTCCTTGGACTATTGCAATGACCTTCTAATTGTTCTCCCTGCCTCTAGTCTCTCCTCTTATCCATCCATCCTTTTTCGCATGGCTGACAAAATAATATTCCTTAACATAGACAGGACCAAGTCATTCCTCTACTCAGAAATCTTCCACTCTTCCCTATTGCTATTTTTTTTAGGCAATTGGGGTTAAGTGACTTGCCCAGGGTCACACAGCTAGTAAGTGTCTGAGGCCACATTTGAACTCAGGTCCTCCTGACTCCAGAGCCAGTGCTCTATCCACTGCGCCACCTAGCTGCCCCTGTCCCTATTGCTATTTTATCCTTGTATTGGATAAAACGTAAATTCCTCAGCCTGGCATTTAAAGCCCTCCATAATCTGTCTCCTATCTACCTTTACAGTCTTCATTCATATTGCTCCACGAACTCTATTCCAGTCAAACTGGCCTGCTAGCTGTAGTTCCCTGGTCTAGACATTCCAACTTCCGACATCCCTCCCCCCTTCCTGGCCTTTGCACAGGTGGTCCCCAATAACTGCACTCCTTTCTCACCTCTCCCTCTTGGAATCCCTGTCTTTCTTCAAAGCACCTCCTACAAGAAGCCTTTTCTGATCCCTCCCAAGAGTTAATCTTTTCCAGCTTTCTAAATTGCTTTAGATTACTTTGTATTCAATTTACTTGATTAAGTGTTAACCCCCAGCCCCGCTGCAGAACGTAAGCTCGGGAGGGCAGGGATTGTTTCACTTTTGCCTTTGTATCCCCCAGCGCCTGGGGCAGAGCCATCACACGGTAGGCGCTTAATAAATGGTTGTTAAACTGGATTGCTTTAAAGTCAGAAGACACGGGTTCCTGGATTTGAAAGCCTGCTCTGCTGCGTACTACGTGCATGGCCCTCGGCCTTTCTGAAAACGGAGTAAGGCTCCAGGGTGTCAAAGGTCTCTCCCAGCTCCAGTAGCCCTCCGTGTCCTCTGTAACCTGCCTGTAGATGGCACTGCAACAGCGCCGGGAGAACGCGTAAATAAGGAAACGCAATTTGGTTTGGCCTCTACGGAGGCCCGTAGCCGGTCCCCAAGATGGCGACTACCCTGGATGTCCACGTCCGGATGTGTAACCAAGAAATTGTCATATTCGACTTGGAGGTTAAAGCGTTTATCCAGGTAGCGGGACCCTGCTCGAGCAACCCCTTCCTCTCACTGTGGCTCACATCCGAGGCCGAAGAGCCCGGGACCCTCGGGCTCTGTGCCTCTCCCCTCCCGCATCGCGGAAAGGCGGACAGAACCACGTCCCTCGCACCCCCCTCCCCCACCTTGGTTCGGGGCTTCTCGCGTCTCCCCCTCCCCTCTTCCGTTGGCTCCCCCCGCTTTCCTCCTCCGCGTTCCTGTTGTTTCCTCGTGCATCCCCCCCCTCCATTTCCATTGGTCCCTCGTGCCCCATCCCCTTTCGTTGGTCCATTCTTCCTTCCCCGTTTCCAATGGTTTCGGCTCCTCCTTCGTTTCCATTGGTCCGCCGCAGCCCTCTCCCCCTCCCATTGGTCCTCGCCCCCACCTGTATTTATATTGGTCTCTGATGCCTTCTCCCCACCCCCCTTCCCACCTAGTCTTCCTATGAATCACTCTCTTCTAACTTCAGCGTAGTCTTCCTGCTCGGGGGTCGAGTGAAGCTAGGGACACCGGGTTGAGCTGGAACCAGGGGTGGGGGTGGGGGGTCCTGAGAGAGCATCTCGTTCAGCCCTTTCATTTTACAGTGGACCTCAGAGAGGTTAAGTGGCTTGCCTGTGGTCACACGCCTAGCGCGGCCAGGATTCCAGCCCAAATCTGGCTCTCTGTCTCGGCCGGGGGCTGCCTGGTCCGTTTGTTTCAACCACAAATGTTTATTCAGCCCCTCCCGAGTGCCGGGCATTGTGCCAGGCAGATTGGCTACAAAAACAATCACTCATCGAATAAGCAAGCAATTATGTGCTTACTTGCCAGGTGAATTGTGCTAATTTTTGGGGATACAAAGAAAAGCAAAAACACAAAAAACAGCCCCTGCCCTCAAGCTAAATACATACTAGTTACATACTAACTGGGGAGACAACACGTAAATAAGGAAGAAGGGAAATAACCTTATTGGGAAAGACTCATATGGCTGGGAGAACCCCCCTGTAGAAGGTGTTTTTTGAGGGGCGTCTCGAAAGAAGCAAGGGATGTTAAAGGTAAAGAGGAGGAGCGTTCCAGACATGGAGAACAGTTAGTGCAAAGGCATGGAGACAGAAAATGAATATATTTTGGGAGGACTAGCCAGTAGGCCAATGTAGTTGGATTATAGAGTTCATGGAAGGGAGAAAACAGGAACATTAGTAAGGGGCCAGGTTGTAAAGAGTCTTAAATGCCAAACAGTGAACTTTATATTTGGTTCTGGAGGTAGTAAGAAGCTACTGAACATTATCAAGGCATGGGGATGTGTACAGACATGGTCAGGCCTGCACTTTGGGAAAATCACTTTGGCATCTGTGTCTGGGATACATTGGACTCAAAAGAGACATGAAGCATTGAAACCAGTTGGGAGACTATTGCAGTTTAAGTGAGAAGTGATGAGAGCCTGAACTAGGATGGTGACTTAAGTTATTGTTTGTCCTTTGTTCTTGAAGAGGACCATAGTCAGAAAGGAGATGTTGTGATTTGCAAGTGAATTGGATTTAAGTGAGGGAGGGCTGTGCAGTCACCAGCCTCACTTTCTCCTTGGGAACCATCTCAGTCCAGTGGCAAGATACAGATCAGGACAAATGGAGACGGCCCACAGGATGTTGACTTATAGAAGAGATGCAAAGGTAGAAACAAGATTTGGCAACTGATTGGATATATGGAGTAAGGGAGAGGGAAGAGTCCAGCAAGAAACTGAAGTAGCCAACCGGCGAGATTGGTGGTTCACTCAGCAGTAATAGAAAAACAAAATGAAAAAATCACTGTCTTCCAAATCACGGTTTATTAAGAGCAAGTTATATGCCAGACACCTTTCTAAGTCTGGGGATACGAAGAAAGGGAAAAAAAAATTCTTGCTCTCACCAGTTCACAGTCTGATGGGGGAAATAACATGCAAATAACTATGTATAAACAAGATACATACAGGATAAACTGGAGATAATCTCAGAGGAAAGGCACTAAGATTTAGTAAGGCTGATAAAGGATTCTTTCTGAAGGTAGGACTTTAGCTGAGGTTTGATGGAAGCCATGAAACAGAAATGAGGATGGAGTGAGTGGCCTGGAAGATAGCCAGTGAAAATGGTTGGAGTTAGAAGATGAGTGTCCTGTTCAGAGAACAGCAAAGAGGCCAGTGTCATTGGATGGTAGAGTACATGAAAGGGAGTAAGATGTAAGAAGACTTTAAAGGTAGAAAGGGGCCAGGCTATTTGACACTTGCTCAAGGGTAGCCACCAGAGTTTGTTGAATGGGGAGTGAAATGGGCAAACCTGCATTTTAGGAAGACCAATTTGACAGCCGAGTAGAAACAGGACTGGAGTGGGAAGAGACTTGAAGCAGGGAGTCTGTCCTGAAAAACCAACCAGACAGGAGGTGATAGGGGTCTGTGGTGGCAGTGTCAGTGGAGAGAAGGAGACAATGGGAGAGATGATGCAAAAGTAGAATTGACAGGACTTGAGAACAGATTAGATATGGTGGGTGAGAGTGAGTGAGGAGTTGAAGATGACACCCTGAGTTTCAAGCTTGAGTCCTTGGGGTGATGATGGTGCCCTTGACAATTAATAAAGAAATTTGGAAGCTGAGTAGGTTTGGAGAAAAGATAATGAGTTCAGTTTTGGATATGTTAAGTTTAAGATGTCCGTGGAACAACCAATTTATCCAATAGACAGTTGGAGATGTAAGCCTGGAGATTAGGAGAGAGCTTAGGGCTGGATAAACAGACCTGAGAATCATCAGCATAGACATTATATTTGAATCCATGGGAGCTGATGAGATCACCAAATGAAGTACAGTAGAGAAGAGGACCCAGGAGAGAGCTTTGGGGGGAAACCCAGTTAGTGAGAGTGAATTAGATGAGGATCCAGCAAAGAAGGCAGAAGAAGAGAGGTCTGACAGGTTGGAGAAGAACCTGGAAAGAATAGTGTTACAAAAATCTAGAGAGAAGGTAGTATCCAGGAGAAGAGGGTGATCGAAGTGAGGAAGGCTGCAGAGAGGTCAGAAAGGGTGGGGATTGAGAAAAGATCATTAAATCTGGCAATTAAGAGATCATTGGTAACTTTGGAGAGTTTAATGATGATATTAAAAGCCAGACTGCAGAAAGTTAAGAAGAGAGTGAGAGGAAAGAACTTGGAGACACCAAATGTAGACAGTCTTCTTGAGGAGTTTATTCACAAAAGGGAGAAAAGAGATAGAATGATAGCTGGCAGAGATGGATGGTTTTTTGAGAATGGTGTAGACATGAATATGTTTGTAGACAGTATGAAAATAGCCAGGATATAGGTAGAGATTGATGATAAATAAGAGAGTAAAGATGATAAAAAGGGTAATCTGCCAGAGAAGATAGGGTGAACTGAGTACACTGGTACATGTAGAGAGGTTTGCTTTTCTCTATATCCTTAGTGCTCAGTTCCTGGCACATAGTTATTATAAAATTCTTGTTGACTGACTGGCTGATCAGTGCAGCACTGGAGCTGTCCATCTGTTGCTTTTGTTCTTTTACAGACCTACTTCCCTTTGCAGTGATATATGTATTTGGATGTTGTCTTTTCATACCATTTCTTGTTTGCAGATCACATTGGTTAGGGGTACAGCTTACTTCAGTAGCATAGTGGATAGAGTTTTGGGCCTGATTTCAGGAAGACTTGAGTTCAAATGTAGCCTCAGACACTTAATAGCTGTGTGACCTTGGGCACATTGATTAAACTCTTCATTTCCTCATCTGTAAAATAGAGATAATAATAATCGCACTTACCCTCCCCCAAGGTGGTTGTGAAGATCAATTGAGATAATATTTGTAAAGTACTTTGCACAGTACATGGCATATAATAAGTAATATATAAATGTTAGCTATTGTTATTATTTCTATTATTACTTGTTATTATGCTCACCGTGTGTCTCTGTGTTATCCTCAGAGTCACCATCAATTTTGAGTTTCTAGAAAAGGAGGCATTTTCTAATACAATTGCAGATTTTGTGTTTAATATTCTAATGAGTAGGTCTGTGAGCCAAAAATGAAGAAACTAAATGCTTTTTGTTATCACTGTTTTCCTGTGGTCATTCTATGCCTCAATTTTACTGTTTATAACTTCTAAGTATGGTGACTAGATTTTCTGAACCAAAAATCAGCATGTATGGCTGACAATTTTTTTTTCTCATTTTTTTGAATGGGACAGGATATTTGAGGTCAGGACTTTGATTCAAAATCTGAGAGGTGTGATTGTCATAGATATATTTGGCAATACTTCTGACCATTTCTGTATTTATGCTAGAAAAGTGAGTCTAGTGTTAATTCAGATAAAATTGCATTCCACCTTCAGTTAATTTCATTAATGGTTGTGGGTTCTCATAAATGCTGATGAATAACAAAGTGCTTTAGTTCTATAAGGCAAGCCAAGCCAAGCCAACGATTCCAGAAGTTGTTAAATAAATTTGAAATATACCCTTTGAAGCTTCTGTAAAACATTGCAATCATATTTGTTGTAAGAGTTTTTATTTCTTTGTTGTTGTTTTGAGTGAGGTGAAAGAGATTGTGAGTGGGGTGGGGTGAGCATTAGGATTGAAAAAGAAAGAAAAGAGGGCCATTGAAATAGAAGAGAATAAAAAGCAGGACAAGACAGATTTGAAAGTTATATGTTGAAGTTAATATATGCTCAAGGAAAAAGTAAGCTGTACATAGTAGAGATTCACAATTTCATGTGTAATCCTTTTTTTCTACTTTGTATATATGGAAATGCTCATTTTATTTGGTTTAGTTAGGTTCAGAATAAAATTTAAAACACTGCAATGCATTCTATGAAATTCATGAAGGAGATTTTCCATGTTTTGTTTAGTCACTGTATTAGTATTTTATACTGTGCCATTTAAGGGAGTTATAATTTGCATTTTTGAAATACCTATTTCTTTGTCATGTCTGGTCTATTGTATTCCAACCACTTTTACTAACACTTAAGATTCTTGTACTGTAGTGGAAAAAGCACCAGGCTTGGGGTCGAAAGCCATGGCTGGGTTCAAGTTCCATCCATCTATGAAACTCATTAGCTGTGTGCTCCTAGGCTAGTCACTTTACCTCTCTGAACCTGAGCCTCAGTTTCTTCATCTGAAAAATAAGGACAATAATAATGCATTGCCTACTAAACAGAATTGTGAAGAAAGTGCTTTTAAACCTAGTGGCACTTGTGTTATTGTTGTCATATCAACTGGCTTGCATTTTAGTAAATGTTTGGTGCTAATAGCTATGTCAAGCTAGAGTAGTTTGGGTCTTTATATTGTTTTCCCAAAAATATTAAATTTTGAGGATAATTGACATGACATTTTGAATTATCTTGCTTCAGAGAGGAAAATAACTAAAACCAGGTAGACATTCAGGTCTAGAGGCTCGGAATCATAGCATGTTTGAGGTAGAAGAGGCCTGAGAAATCTCTCTAGTCAGCAATTCTTTTACTTTTTGTTCTCAGGACTCCTTTATGCTCATAAAAATTGTTGAGGATCTTCTTTCCTAAAATACTTTTATGTGGGTTATATTTACCTATACATTGCCATATTAGAAATTAAAACATCCTAGTATTATTATGAAAATAGTCTTGATCTCAAAGACCCTTCTGAAAGGGTCTTGGGGACCTCTGGGAGTACCTCCACCACTGATGGAGGCTGACCTTCTCATTTTACAAATGAAGAAACAGAAGAGATGCTTCAGTTCAGTGAATTGAGAGGAAAGCACTCATATTTCTCCTGGTTTTGTTTGGTGTTTTTTTAGGATATCCGGGATTGCTCAGGACCATTGAGCACGCTTACAGAACTAAATGCCAAAGTGAAGGAGAAGTTTCATCACTTACGGCTCAAAATACAGGTGAGCAGCCGCTGAACCAGGGGCCTGTTGGTGTGTTATAATGAAAGTGGCTGTTTTCTAGAGATTAGCAGAGACAGGGATGAAGGTTTAAAATGGTTAGCCTCTTTATATACTAGCAAAGGTCTGGTAATTTCAGTTCTATATTGACTTACTATAAAAAGAAGATAAAAAACACAGCCATCTGAAGTCTTCCTGTTGTTCCAAAACCAAGTTGGACACATTCATTCCATATGTTTTTTACTGCTAATTCCCAGGTGTCTCTAACCTAGTTTTGATTAGAATTAGCATATAAGCCAGATAGAAGGCTTGTTTCTTCAATGTTGAGTATGTCATACATCAAATCAAATGTTTTACTTACTCCCTTTCTTCCCCCCAAAAGATAAGTGCTGCCAGAATTTTCCTGGCAACCATGATTTTTGAAGTAGTTAGGAAAATGAAACATTAAAGAATTACCATGATAAGGGCTTCCTTCCCCTGTCTTACGGTATTCTGTGTATAGTAAGTGTTGTTGATTTGTTATGTGTATGAATGAGAATCTGTATGTTTGTATATGAAGTGGTTCTGGCTCTCAGACTGGGCTAAAGGAGTTGCCTTTACCTCCCTTCTCTTCCCAGAATCATCTCAAGTTCTCTGATACTGTTCCCACATAAAAGTGATCCTGCTTGGCTCCTGGTTTTTATTGGCTTGGCGTAGCAGCCGCAGCCCTTTTAATCATAGAATTTAAAGCTTGAAGAGAGTTTGGAGATCATCCAGTACAAACCTATCATTTATCAGGTGACAAAACTGAGGTCCAGAGAGCTTATATGACCGGCTTTGTTAGAACTCACGTTCATCTGTTGTCAGTCAGATGGCTTGTGTCTGTTTTTATACCCTTTTCCTTTCCTTCTCACATGTTTTCCCTTCAGATTTAGGGTGAAGACTCCCTAACTCCCAATACCTTACTTTTTTTTTTCTCCTCTTCCCCCTGCCTTGTTTAGTTCTCAGCATCATTTGAAAGAGAGCAGAAGAAAGTCAGTGGTTTGGAAGTAACCCTCTGAGTCAGTACAATATCAACTCAGACATTGAAATTTTTGGGAAATCGATCAAGGAAAATCCCACATATCATAAAGAGACAAATGAATATAATAAAACTATCATATGGTCTACATGAATTCTATTCCTGACTCTTCTACCAACTTGCTGTATGACCTTGGGCAAGTTACTTCCCTCTTCTAGGCCTCAGTTTCTTTATTTATAAAATGAGGGGGTTGATCCAGATTATGGTCCCTTCTTGCTCTATAAAGTGGTACAAAGGGGCAGCTAGGGGGCGCAGTGGATAAAGCACCGGGTCTGAAGTCAGGAGAACTGAGTTCAAATCTGGCCTCAGACCAGACATTTGACACTTATTATGTGTGACTTTGGGCAAGTCACTTGAGCCCTATTGCCTCACCCCCCCCCAAAAAAGATAGTGGTACATAAGAGACTGCAACATTGACTTCCATAGTTACAGTGAACTTGAAAGTTGTTTTTTCAAGTAAGCAAAAGAGAGGTGACCTGGGGCATAAGAGGTGAATATGGGCAATGAGAAGATATACTTTTGTTGAATTTTTGATAGCGTGTATTGGTACAAAACTTTCTTTAGACCAGGGATTCCTAGCAGTGATTTTGTGGCATTCTCTTAGGGATAGGGACTGGACCTGTGATTTCAGGAACTTGAAGATAAGGAAACTCTGTATATTAATGTAAGCAGACACTTTCTCTACAATGGTCTTAAAGAATTGCCCAGAGTTCTCTAAGAAGCTAAGTGACTTTCTCATGGACCCACAGCCGGGATGTTAGAGAGATAGGCTAATAGCTTGGGACTTGAACCCAAGTCTTTCTGGCTCTGAAGCCAACTCTCTAGCCAATAAGCCATACTGTCAATTCATTTTAATTTGTAAAATGAATGTATGTCACACACCAACTTAGGAGAGAACTCTTAAAGAGACAATAGTAAATTACATTTTCCAGCTTTAGAGATAGCAACAAATAGAATAAAATTGTGTCATCAATTATCTTTTATAGTTTGTTGCTTGTTATTCAGTAAGTTCTTTATACATATCTGCTTCCAACTCAAGGAGTATCAGAGGTGTTCAGTAATTTTCTGAATTCCACAACTGGAATACATTTTATGTTGTTTTTAAAGAATGAATAGCTTAAAAATTTTTCACATACAGTTATTTTCACCTAAAGGAGCTTGAGCAGATGGCTAAAGAACAGGATAAAGAATCTGAGAAACAAGCTTTGCTCCAGGAAGTTGAGAATCACAAAAAGCAGCTGCTCAGGTAGGTGAAATCATTACCTCCCCCTGTTGTATCCATACTGTGGATCAGAGGTTCTTTTGGATTAACTCATTGGTCAGCTTTGTCCATGTGCTGGGGCAGCTAGGGTGCAGAATGGATAGATACAGGAGGACCTGATTTCAACCTGAGCAAGTCACTTAATCGCTATTTGCCTCAGTTTCCCCATCTGTAAAATGGGGATAACAATGGAACCTGTCTCCCAGGGTTGTTTTGAGGATCTAATGATTGTAAAGCGCTTAGCACAGTGTCTGGTACATAGTAAATGCTATATAAATGTTACTTCTTGTTGTTACTAGGGGATGATTTAATTGTGTTTGTATATCATATGAGTTCCTTCCATCCCCATACTGATAGGAAATTCCTTCACTGTGCAAATGTAATTGGGTAAATTATAGAAGAAAGAAAAGTACAAGGTGTCATAGTGGAGTAGTTGCCTTATTAGAATGTATATTGATCCATCAGAAGTCACATTAACCTATGATATTTTTTTTTAGCCATAATGTTTATTTGCAAACACTTTTAAATATAAAGTTTGCAAAATTATAACTGTTAGTTCAGTTGGTTTGAGCATGCCGCTAATGAGGCCGGAGTCACAGGTCTGATTCCCAAATTTAATAATTTAATTTTTCTAATACTTCATGGTCAGAGATCTTAACTTAGGCAGTCATTTTGTAGATTTAAACTCTTTGGCCAAAAGGAGGTTTGAATGAGAGATTGTGGATAAACCATTTCAAAGTCACCCCATTATGTGAAAAAAACCAACTCATGCCATACACGTTCTGGACTCTAAAAGGAAATGATTGCCCAATTTTCGATCTCATGATCCTGTTCTCTATTGGTGGTAGCACAATAGCTTGAGTTTTGCATGAAACTCACCATCATGAACATGAAGGGGGAGTGGGTCTTTGGAAGAATTTTTTTTCTCTTTTGACCTTTTTTTGTGTTAGGCAGTACAATAAGGAAACAAATCTTCAGATGCTGATTCTGTGCTCTTCTCTGCAGTGATGCAGAATGATGTCAGGTGGATGGGCTTAGAGTGAGATGAGGGCAGGGAGGCCAGCCTGCTTCTACTATTGCCTTGCATGAATTGCTTCTATTCACTGAGAGACTTGGAAGCTTATTATCACTGAAGAATACATATATTTTTTTGATTCCAGCAATCAGACTGCATGGAGGAAAGCAAATCTTGCTTGTAAAATTGCAATTGACAATTTAGAAAAAGCAGAACTTCTTCAAGGGGGTGACATGAGGCAGAGGTAATAATGCTTTTTATCATCCTTTTATATATGGCTCTTACCGGTACCATTTTAGTGGTTTAGATGAGAAATAGCAAACTCACAAAGGCCACAAGCCCCTAAAAACTCCAGAGGGCTACCAGAATGAGATTAAAATGTAATTGGGAAGTGTTTAACAAAATAATAAAAAAAAATAATACAATATTGATACTGTTACTTTGTGGATTTCTAAGTCCATGTGGTGCCTACAGGGATCTGTTTCTATTTGGGTTTGACACCGCTGGTTTAGAGGACCTCTGAACTATTGTTATTCAGAGACATAACATGTAATTATTAGAGGAAATATGTTCATTGCTGGAGGACACAAAGTTTAGATAAGATGTAGTTCCTGTCTTCTTGGAGCTCTCAGATATTAAATCCTCCCTTCAGGAATCTAGTTTCTTGTGACTGACATTTTTCATCCTCCTCTTTACTTTATAGAAAAACTACTAAGGAGACCCTGGCACAGACTTCTAGCAACATCACAGAGAGCTTGATGGGCATCAGCAGAATGATGTCCCAGCAGGTTCGTCAGAGTGAGGAAGCAATGCACATTTTAGGTAAGACCAGAGCAAGGGTCAGGAGACTCTTCTCAGGAGCTCAATTGCCTAAGATAGTTATTGATCTGAGGCTCTTAAATACATTTTCATCTAACTTCTCATGAATACATTTTCATCTAACTTCTCATGGTGTCTATAAAATTACAAAGTGATTTTTATAGCTTTATCATATTTGGGGAGTTTAAAAAAACAGTGAAAGAAGTCATAATATAGTTGTTATAAACTGCTGACTAGACTGCTGGGACATCTGCTTTGAATTTCACTGGGAAACTCTTTATAAGTAAAAAAATCAGAAACTCTAGAAGGGAATATTAAAATAGACCAATAGCAACAGATTTGCATTCCCAGGAAAATTATAAAAGGGAAGTCTTTTCATTTACTCTTTTAAGTCCCATTTTCCCCCCAGTACATCATTTCAGTAGTTAAACTTGTAGTTTGTCCCCAGAGTCATTCTCTGAGATTATAAATTCTATACCAGACACTGTCATTCTTATTGTGAACTCAATATTGAATACTATAATGGAGCACTGCAGAAAGATGCAGAGTAAACAGAAGATATGATCTTTGCCTTCGAGAAATT